ACAACTTCAAGTGGAAGCACAACTGTTTGATCAAGATGAGGGCAGTCTAGTCAAAATGATAGAATTATTAGGAATTGAGGACGATGTAACAGGGAAATCTAAAATGCAGAAGGTAAATTATCAGGCACCCACATGTCTTTAACAAATACTCACATAAGTAGAAGGAGCTTTACCTCTTCTCAAACAAACTGAAGAGACAGGGCCAAAAACAGCTGCTGGAGTAGAGGGCAAACAAATGGACACCCAGGGAAAATTAAAAAAAGAAAAAGTCAAACAAGGGGCGGAGTATATTTTGGTTCAAATGGTGAAAACATTCTCTGCACCGAGAATATAAACTTTCAGGGCAGGTTGGCAGACGGAAAAATCGACTTATGTGTCTTTAATACATCAGATAGACTCTGGTCTTAAACGTGGTTATAGAGAAAGTGAAATTAAGTGACCTTAAGTGACCTCTCCCTTGCAAAATTATGGAGAATTCTCCATGCCTACTACTGGGAATAAGCTGCATCTGAGGTGTACCAACAGCTTGCAACCATATGCCAACAAAGCACAGCAATTCCTAATTCTTACTTTGGACCTGCGTAACAAGGTAAATTTGGCCAGTCAAGAATTGGATTGTGAGTTTAATTATGACCTTTCACCAATTCTGAGAACATTTGCAAATTCCTTCAAAACTGGTCTTCATGATGATATGTTAGCAACTTAAGAACAACCCCTTGTACCCTGAGGAAATTATGAAACAAGTTAATAAATAAGCTTCACAGCAAGATGAGTGAACCACAAAATTGGCAACTGAACACCAAAAAAGGTCCAAAGTGAATGTTTGTGAAGTCCTCAAGGAGGGAGGAGAACAGAGAGCCAGGAATCCAAGTTCAGACAGGAGCCAACAGATTCTTTCTGAAATCCGGCAGATGAAATCAGAAATTCATGACCTCAAAGGTAGAGTCAATGCCCAATGCGATCAGGTGGCAAAACCAAACTGGGGCCGACCCCACTACAGAGGCCATGGAGGTGGATACCAGCCAAAGAACCCAAGTTAGGATTGTCACAGTTGTGAAGAGTGTGGAGGAGGGGGATATGACGATTGTTTCACTTGTGGTAGCTCTGGACATGTAGCTTGTGAGTGTACTAGAAGAAGGAATCTCGATTTGTTCTTTGGTTATCCTGTATCTTGACTACTTCGATCATCAGCCGCCATCTTAGATCATAAAGTAAGTTCTTGGAATACTTCTACATGTTAAAATATGTGAACTATACCTCTCTCATTACCAGGCCTTTCCATTTCTCAGCTGCAATTCGATTTCTCGATCATAGTGGTAGGTGTTCTGGATCGTCAATCTCTGGACGATCGTTTTCAGACACCAATCTTTTTTTCAACCATAGCAATCGTCAGTCTTGGTATTCAATCGCTTTTTAGACCATAGCAACCATCACTCTTAATCTGCACCTGATAATCTCAACCACAGCGATTGACAATCTCAATCACCAATTTGTAGTGATCATGACTTACGTCACCGGTAGTGTAATCTAATACATGTGATTGCATTGAATAAAGTATCAGTCTTATCACCACATGCTCCAAGTAAGACGTACAACAATCCTAGTGTACAATTCTACATGTACAACAATGCTAGTATACATGGCGACGAGGATTCGAGGATTTTATGGAACCAATTCACGGCATTTCATTCACCGCTGCACCTTCTCACTACTGGCAAACGTTTTCTGGTTTCAACATGGCAGTATCCCTGCCAACATTCCCACCATTCGATGTCCACAGCGACGCCTCCTCCACCGTTGTCCGCTGGAAAAAATGGCTTCAGCGGTTTGAAAACATGATGATCGGGCTCAACATGAAAGACGATCTGAAAAGGAAACGAGCTCTGCTTCTTCACTATACTGGTGAGGAGATTAACGACATCTTTGAAACTCTGCCAGACACTGGGGAGGAAAACAATTATCAGGCAGCTATTGATGCTCTAAACGCACATTTCACTCCTACGGCCAATTCGGAATTCTCGATTTACTGTTTTCGTCAAGCCAAACAGCAGCCAAATGAAACCCTCAACACGTTACATACAAGGCTACAACAGCTGGCGATGCCGTGTAGCTTCACAGACAACAACAAAGAAGTCAAGACCCAAATCATCCAAGCGTGCACTTCTCACAAACTTTGCCATAGTGCCCTACAACACCCTGAATGGTCGCTCTCGAATCTCCTGAGCTCAGGCAGAGCCATGGAACTGGCCAACAAACACGCCGCAGACATCGAGCAGCCGCTCGAAGCGTTGTCGGTGAACCGTATACACGCAAAACAGATGCATGAACACAGCAACAATCCAAGAAATGGTCATTGGACACGCACGCAAACTGGCAAGACGTGTTATTTCTGTGGCGATAAATATCCCCACACTTCTCACTGCCCTGCCAAAAGCAAGTAGTGTGGCAACTGTGGCAAGCTGAATCACTTTTCTCGTGTTTGCAGGTCAAAACCACAACAGCAGCTTGTGCAACATGTTTATACGACGCCTCACTGTGACCATTGTTCTCCATCGGCCATGCAACACGATTTCTCTGATGATTCCGACGACAGCTATGTCTTCGCCCTTCACAAAGGCCATCCTGTTCACTCTGTGTATAAGGAGCTACCCTCCGCGAGCGTCATTGTCCATGGAACTGCAATCACCGCGCTCATCAACTCGGGTGCCAGCGTAAACCTCTTGGATGAGCAAGACTTCAAAGCGCTCAAGAAACCTCCACCATTGAAACGGGATACCACAATAATAAAGGCATATGGCATAAAGGAGCCGCTTAATACCCTTGGCATGTTTACAACGGAAGTCGAATCAACATCCAAGATCGCTTGTGCTGATTTTCACATGGTGCACGGTAACACTGGGTCAATTCTCAGCTATCACACAGCTCGAGAGCTTGGACTCATACACATCACAAACACCATCGCAACGTCTCCTTCCACTGCTGCCGAGCTTGTACACAAATACGATCATCTGTTTCATGGCATCGGCAAAATCAAAGATCATGCTGTCAAGTTATACATCGATAAGTCTATTTCCCCTGTTGCTCAACCACATCGACGCATCCCTTTTCATCAACGCAAGAAAGTTGAAGATGAATTGCAGCGCCTACAAGATCTTGACATCATTGAAGAGGTGGATGGCCCCACTCCTTGGGTTTCGCCTATCGTTGTTGTCCCCAAACCAAAAAATCCAGAAAAGATAAGAATCTGCGTGGATATGAGAGCACCTAATACAGCAATTCGACAAGAACATCACATCACACCTACAGTCGAGGTGGAGTCGCAAGCTGACTCATCAAGGTGAACCCTGGCACTGGGGACAGGAAGAAGAACAGTCACTTGCCGCCTTAAAGCATGCTCTTTGCACGGATGTCATCACAGCCTATTACGACACAACACAAGACACGCATCTTCTAGTTGACGCAAGCCCTGTAGGCCTGGGTGCTCTCCTTACACAAAACCACCGTGTAGTAGCCTATGCTAGCAAATCTCTAACCGCCGTGGAGCAATGTTATTCCCAAACAGAACGAGAGGCTCTCGCCGTTGCTTGGGGCTGCAATCACTTCCGTCTCTACCTCCTTGGCACCCATTTCACTGTACTCACAGATCAAAAACCCCTTGTCTCCATCAACAACAAGCCTGGATCAAACCCACCAGTTAGAATCACTACCTGGATATTTAAACTCCAGAACTATGACTACACCGTCGTCTATCACCCAGGAGAGAACAATCCTGCAGACTGATCATGTGGTGTCTTCCTCAGCGGAATGCTACGTTAACTTTGTAGCTACGCATGCAGTCCCCAAAGCCCTCACTTTAGACGAACTCAAAGAAGCAACGAAAGCTGACAGCACCCTACAGGCTGCTGCACAACTCATTCGAACGCAAGCATGGCAACCGATGATGACATCATCCTTCGCGGTCTTAGAATAGTCATTCCCTCATGCCTTCGTGCGCACGTTGTCAACCTGGCTCATGAAGGCCACCAAGGTCTGGTCAAAACTAAAGCGCTCCTCCATGAAAAGGTCTGGTTCCCAAAAATCTATGAACTCACTGAACATCTCGTCAAAAGCTGCATTCCTTGTTGATCGGCGGTCCAGCACCATCCACGAGAACCACTCCAAATGTCTAAGCTTCCCAATGCACCATGGCAGGAAGTCAGTGTTGATTTCTGCGAAGTGGGAGGCAGCTATTTGCTTGTTGTAATCGACAATTATTCAAGGTATCCAGAAGTACAGCTTCTGCATTCCACTTCAGCCAAGGCTGTCATTCCTCACCTGGATTGCATCTTCTCTACCTTTGGGATACCTAAAGTCCTCCGTTCAGACAACGGTCCACCCTTCAACAGCGCTGAGTTTAAACAGTTTGCAGCCCATATTGGTTTTCACCATTGAAAAATTACTCCTCGCTGGCCTGAGGCCAATGGAGAAGCCGAGCGGTTCATGTGCACTCTCAAGAAAGCCCTTCACACAGCAACGGTGTGGAAACAAGAGCTGTATAGCTTCCTTTGAAACTACCGCGCCACACCACACTCTACAACTGGTGTTCCACCAGCCACCGCCCTCTTTGGTAGGCCACTCCGCACACGTTTACCAGAAATTCCTGATTCCGATGATTCAGCCACACCCTTCGACCATGAAGCAATGCAGAAAGCTGACTCCCAGGCTAAGTCCAAAATGAAATTGTATGCCGACGCCACAAGGAATGCTGCAACATCGCCCATTAAGCTTGGCGACACAGTGTTGGTTGCCAACGATGCCAAAGGAAAATTGACTCCACCTTTTGATCCACGCCCTCTAATCATAGTGGACAAGAAAGGGTCCATGTTGACTGCTGCGGATCACGACAAAACGGTTACAAGAAACAGCAGCCACTTTAAACTCCTCCCTGAGCAGGACACATCAGTCGAGGGTGTTCCAACATCTCACGAGAATGCAGCTGCGTCCAGGTCATACCCTACCAGAGTGAGAAGGCCCCCTTGCCGTTTTCAGGACCAATGTTTAGATAAGATGGACACCAATCCAACCTAGAACTCAACTTGTGTTTCTCTGTGAACTGAACATTGACTGAAGAACCCTTTTCGCAATGATTTAGTTATATTTTTCATGAACAGTGATTTTCAGATCAATACTTAATGTTTTCAGCAGAACAAAAATAGACAAGAGAGTGATGTAGTGTTCATGACTTACGTCACCAGAAGTGTAATCTAACACATGTGATTGCATTGAATAAAGTATCAGTCTAATCACCACATGCTCCGAGTAAGACGTACAACAATCCTAGTATACAATCCTACACAATTGATAATCTCAATTACAGCAATTGACATTTTCAATCACCAATCGATATACTCAACCGTAGCGATCGATTTCTTGATCATCAGTCGTGAGCTCATACCACTTTTAACTGATATGGTCTCCCATAGAAAAGTTGAAAGGCACTAGTAATTGCAAACCAAGTGAGAGGCAGGTTATGAAGTTTAGGATTGGGATGAGAATGGTATGCAATACAAAGAGCTGAATCAGATCCTCCACATTGAGAAGCCCTGATGATTCCACAGCATAAAAAGTATAGTAAAAAAGGTGACAAACGCATTGGTACACCT